TTTTTTTTTTTTTTTTTTTTTTTTGTATTTTTAGTAGAGACAGGGTTTCACCATGTTGGTCAGGCTGGTCTTGAACTCCTGACTGCAGGTGATCCACCTGCCTTAGCCTCCAAAAGTGCTGGGATTACAGGCGTGAGCCACCACATCAGGCCTATCTAGATCTTAAAAGTCATCCCTTAAGCACATCTGGTAATGTTCAGGAGATAAAGTAGAAAAATCAGGCCGGGTGTGGTGGCTCACGCCTGTAATTCTAACACTTTGGGAAGCCGAGGTGGGCAGATCGCCTGAGCTCAGGAGTCTGAGGCTACCCTGGGCAACATGGTGAAACCCTGTCTCTACTAAAATACAAAAAATTAGCCCAGCATGGTGGTGGGTGCCTGTATTCCTAGATACTCAAGACACTGAGGCACGAGAATTGCTTGAGCTCAGGAGATGGCAGTTGCAGTGAACCGAGATTGCACCACTGTACTTCAGCCTGGGCAATAAGCAAGACACTATCTCCAAATAAAAAAGAAAGAAAAATAATAGGAAATGGATTTAAAAATTGGTGGGGGCTGGGCACGGTGGCTCACACCTGTGATCCTAACACTTTGTGAGGCTGAGGCAGGGGAATCATTTGAGCCTAGGAGTTCGAGATCAGCCTGGGCAACACAGTGAGGCCCCGCCTCTACAAAAACCAAACAAACATTGGTAATACTATAATTATACTTTGTGAAAAGCAAACTTACTAGTAATTACTGGACAATATATTAATAGAAATGTTTCCTTTTAGTCTTAAGTTTTTATTGATGGCATAAATCATGTTTATCAAACTTTAGTGTGTATCAGAATAATCTGGAAGGAGTGCTTGTTAAAACACAGATCACAGCAGGGCCCGGTGGCTAAAACTTGTAATCCTAGCACTTTGGGAGGCCAAGACAGGATTACTTGAAGTCAGAAGTTTGAGACCAGCCTGCCTGGACAACATGGTGAAACCCCATCCCTCCTAAAAATAAAAAAATAAAAATAAATAAATTAATAAAAATTAGCCAGGCATGGTGGCAGGTACCCGTAATCCCAGCTACTTGGGAGGCTGAGGCAGAAAAATCGTTTGAACCTGGGAGGCAGAGGCTACAGTGAGCCAAGATTGTGTCACTGCACTCCAGCATGGACAACAGAATGAGGCTCCATCTCAAAATAAAACAACAACAAGAAACACAGATTGCTACATTCCATCCCCAACGCTTCTGAACATTTGCATTTTTAACAAGGTCCCAATTGATGTCAGTGCTGCTGATCTAGGAACAAACACTGTTTGAGAACCACTGCTATAAGCATTTGTGCTGGATTTAAGAAGAAAAATCTTAAGACACAATCTTAAAACCAACAGTAAGAAAGAATTCAATTTTTTAACATTTTGAAATAATTTTAGAGAACAAGTACAAAAATAGTAAAGGTCAAGCACAGTGGCTCATAAGCACTTTGCGGGGTAGAGGCAGGAGGATTACTTGAAGCCAAGAGTTCCATACAACACTGCATTTCTATAAAACAAAAACAAAAACAAACAAATTAACTGGGCGTAGCGGCAGAGGCCTATAGTCCTGGCTACTCGGGAGGATTGACTGAGTGCAGGAGTTGAGGACTACAGGAAGCTATGATTGTATCACTGCATTCCAGCCTGGGCAACAAATCAAGACATCATCTTTTTTTTTTTTTTTGAGTCTCACTCTGTTGCTCAGGCTGGAGTGCAATGGTGTGATCTCTGCTCACTGCAACCTCTGCTCCCAGGTTCAAGCAATTCTCCTGCCCAGTCTCCCAAGTAGCTGGGATTACTAGGCACCCGCCATCACGCCTGGCTAATTTTTTTGTATTTTTAGTAGAGATGGGGTTTCTCCATGCTGTTCAGGGTGGTCTCGAACTCCCGACCTCAGGTGATACACCCGCCTTGGCCTCCCAAAGTGCTGGGATTACAGGTGTGAGCTACCGAGCCTGCCCCCCAACTCATTTTTTTTTTTTAAACAGATGGTGTTTTGGGCCAGGTGCGGTGGCTCACACCTGTAATCCCAGCACTTTGGGAAGCCAAGGCGGGGGGATCACCTGAGGTCAGGAGTTCGAGACCACCCTGAACAGCATGGAGAAACACCGTCTCTACTAAAAATACAAAAAAAATTAGCTGGGAGTGGTGGAGGGTACCTGTAATCCCAGCTATTTGGGAGGCTAAGGCAGGAGAATTGCTTGAACCTGGGAGGTGGAAGTTGCGGTAAGCCAAGATTGTGCCATTGCACTCCAGCCTGGGCAACAAGAGCAAACTCCATCTCAAAAACTAAACACACACACATACACAGAAAGAAAAAGTAAAGATTTCCTATATGCTCGTCACCTAGCTTCTCCATATGTTAATGTCTTACATAATCACAGAACACTTATCAAAACTAAGAAATTAACGTAGTACTATACAAAGTACAGAACTTATTCAGGTTTCACCAGTTTTTCCACTAACATCCCTTTTCTGTTCAGCATCTAATCTAGGATCCCACATTGCATTTGTTTGTCATGTCTCTCAAGACTCCTCTTATTTTCAACAATTCCTCAATCTTTCCTTGTCTTTCATGACTGACACGGCTGAACAGCACTGATCAGTTAATCTACAGACTGTGCCTCAATTTGGGTTTGTCTGATGTTTTCTCATGATCAGATTGAGGTTATTTTGGGGAAAGATTCTTTAGAGGTGATGTGCCGTTCTCACTGCATCAAATCAGAAGGTATGTTGCTATTTCTGGTGATGTTAGCCTTGATTATATAGCTAAGGACATGTCTACCAAGATTCTCCACTATAATTCTGTTTCTACTTGAATTTCTGCTTGCTGCTTTTAGCATCCATTGGTGAATTATGCCCATGGTAATTTTTACTGTGTATTCTAATAGTGAATTTATTATTTTTGTCTTTCCTTCCACATTTATTAACTGGAATTCTTCTGTAAGGAAAAGCTGTGATTTCACCCCTCATATGTTTAGTTACTCATTTGGTTATTTATATCAGCATGAACAGATATTTAAAGAATTTGATTTTGGTCAAGCATAATTCTTTGGAAAGAAAATAGATAAAAATAAAAATTAAGGAAAAATACAGAAAATTGTAGAGATATATGACTCCCCATCAATAATCAGTTTTTTGTCTGTTTGTTTTTTTGAGAAGGAGTCTTACTCTGTTGCCCAGGCTGGAGTGCAGTGGCGCAATCTCAGCTCACTATAATCTCCGCCTCCCAGGTTGTTCAAGTGATTCACCTGATTCACCTGCCTCAGCCTCCCGAGTAGCTGGGATTACAGACACATGCCACTTTGCCAGGCTAATTTTTGTAGTTTTAGTAGAGATGGGGTTTCACCATGTTGGCCAGGTCTCAAACTCCTGACCATAAGTGATAGCCTACCTTGGCATCCCAAAGTGCTAGGATTACAGGCATGAGTCACTGCGCCCATCCATTTTTCTTTTAGACAAGCTAAACCTTAAAAATCCAGCCTGGTCATTAGAGAAATGCAAATCAAAACTACACTGAGATACCATCTCACGCCAGTTAGAATGGCGATCATTAAAAAATCTGGAGACAACAGATGCTGGAAAGGATGTGGAGAAATAGGAACACTTTTACACTGTTGGAGAGGATGTGGAGAAATAGGAACACTTTTACACTGTTGGTGGGAGTGTAAATTAGTTCGGCCGTTGTAGAAGACAGTGTGGTGATTCCTCAAGGACCTAGAAATAGAAATTCCATTTGACCCAGCAATCCCATTACTGGGTATATATCCAAAGGACTATAAATCGTTCTATTATAAGAACACATGCACACGAATGT